TAGAACAGATAAAACTGGTTATGTCTGACACAATAGTTTGCTAAAGTTTAGGGTTTTAAATATCAAAAATATGCAACCTTTGAGACATAGTCGCAGGATTTGGTGCATACTTAATGTTATGTGTTTCATCGTTCTTTACCTTCTTTAATTGAATTTAATTGTTTACTAGCTTCGTTAAATGTACCCGTGACTGTAACCATATTTCTTCGTAAATCCTCTGCTTTTGTTTTCATAAATTTATTAAAATCTTCTAAAATAACTTTTTTCGATTGAACACCTCCATTTGTTGTAGCAGTAGTTATGACTATTTTTTTTTCTCCTTTAATCTGTAATCCACGTGTCGTCGGCACATATTCATGTTGTTTATCCGATAATAGATTTTGAAAATGTTTATCGTTTGTGATATGATCAATATTTGTTGTATTATTACGTAACGGCAGTGAATAAGAAGTGTGTGTTGCCGGAACTATTAGATGATCTCTATCTTTGTCTTGTTTATCTTGTTTCTGTTTATTATTTTCATTTTTAGCAGATACCTGTTGAGGCCGAACATGTGTGTTTGTCGATAGATGAGGAGTTAATCTTGGAGATGTAGCATTAAACCGAACTGACTTTTTACGAGGTGTGATTGATAATATTGGACGAACATTTTGTGATTGAGATTCAATCATTATATAAGCAAATCATGCTCTCTTCATTAGAGAACTTATAGTAATTGCCTAAACAAATAGAAAAATGAACTGGAGGGAAAAACTCCGTAAGATCGAGGATTGAACAGAAAAACTAGGATGTTCCTGATAATCGAATAGAGTTTACAGCTTAAATTCAAGGAGAAATAGAGTAGAGATTACTTTTGTATCAATACTTTTCTTCGCCGAACAAGTCGCACTAGATTTCGAGAGAAACCGTTAAAAAGTAGCGAGTTTTGCTGATCTGAATGCTTTTCAAAATTGAATGAGCCAGTCTGTAAACATGTTCTAGTCATTTTCTGTAGACTGCTAAAAGTTATTCACATCTCTATTTTCAAACAGACAAATTATAGAAAAAATTTGCGTACAACACATGCAGCAAGTAGTCAGAAGAATTCAATGTGTTTGGTTTCTACTTGATTTTTTATCGAATCGTGATAAAACTCGCAACATATATAACAAACAAATAGCATACGCCATAGAAAAAAGGTCAGTTGATTTGTGACATTGTCGGTTATGTAAAATCAGTTTTATGTTGATGTGTTTTTTCAATTATATTTTGCTCCTTTCACGATTTTAATGTGACATATAAAAAGACAATAATTCAAAATTTTTGTATTTAACAGCATTGCACAAATAATAAGATTTCAAGACTATTAAGATGAATTAAAAAAATTAATGACTCAAATCAAACAATAGGAATAGCAGCGCGGAACCGTTACAAATCTAGAGAAACAGATATAACAAGAACAAATATAAATAATAAAAACACAAGATCATTATGGTGCCAACAATAAGCAGTTTATTATGCATCGATCCGCACAGCACCTACTAGAAAACTTTCTGAATTTATCCCTGGAAAATATAAACAGCTATTCAATACTGATGGTTTAGTGTATTGTTTTTCTAAATATTTATTTTTTAATACAAATTACTGGTAACTGATTGCATTTTATTGGAGAGTCTCAGAAAGTAACTCTGTGTTTCGTTAGTTGATTCATATAGTTTGATATTTTTTAAAACATTATAACAAATTTACATAAAAATTGTTGATTTGCTTTTCATTGTTGTCGTCTTATGCTTGTAGTATTGATAGTGTCTCGCAAACTCAGCACGGAACCTATCGAATACTGTTAAATATGGTAAGTGAGTACAAAGAGTAGAGACACATGCACTTTCTAGTTAATTTTTTATGATTAGAAGCGGTCGAAAAATGGCTGTTTAACTCATAATTAATGGCATATCATCGACAGAAAAATAAAGTTCATTTAGAGTTGTGGAAAAGTACTTTTTCGTATTCAGCATACTCGATAACCCAATAGATTTTCTATTTTTGACGCGGGGTAGCGTCAAAAGTTTAAGAAAAATTTTGAAACTAATATAATTTTCCCATGGAAATTGTTTTGCGCCATTTTGTTCGAAAACTTTTCCTAAACTTTTGACAATACTTCTCGCCAAAAATAGGAAATCAATTGGATTATCGGGTATACTGAATAGGAAAAAGCACTTTTCCACAACTCTAAATGAACTTTATTTTTTTCTTCACGGTGATATGTTTATTAATAGTCTGCTAAAGGAACGATAACTAAACGGTTATAACGATGGAGGGAAGCAAATTCATCTTCTCGAAATGACTATGATAACGCTGATCTTCAACATCCTGAAAGCTGGTCGCTTAGAAAATGATATATATATAATGCAAGTGCATGTTTATGTATGTACTAGCATGAACAGAATAATTTTTTCTTGGAAGTAAATCCGAAAACAAAGCCTGACCAATTAAGTTTCTATTCGAACAGTTGCTATGTCAACGTGGGTAAAAATTTCAATCTTTCAAAAAGAAAGCAGGGATCAGTACTGAGAAAAGGTCTATTGTAGAATTTTAAATGATAAAATCACCGTTTACAAGATGAAGAAGTGATGCTCTGGAATCTTATTACTATTGTATTTTCAATAACTGCACAGAAGACAGGTATAGTGTCGCTAGCGATCGGTCGTACAAGTTAGAGAGACGAATGGGCGAGCACGAGTATAGAAGATTATAACGGCCCTACAAAAAAAATGATGATGTCGATGCCGAACATTGTCAAATTAGCATCAATGCCATGCAATGCCGATTTTTCACTTCAGAAACGATGCCACATTGCTAAAATTCAATGCAACATTATTTTTTTCAGCGACACCCTATAAAAATGAATTCGATGCTGCATTGCAAAAAAAGGATCGGCCAGCGATGCGCACCGGTGCTCATAATCATACGGCATTGCCTCGACACTTCTCTTATGCAAGAAGTAAAAGATGTGAGCCGAAAAGATATTCGCAATATTACAAGTACACTATGATATTTATATATACGAACAATAAAAAAACAAAATGGTTATTGAAAAAGAACCTTGGCACCGGTGCGCACTGGTGCCAGAAGAATCGAAAAATCTCGCACGCGTGCGCACTCGCGCACAACCGGTGCCGACAGAATATAAATATTAGAATATTAGAATATTTTTGTAGGGCGAGTACCAGTAAGAGTAAAAAGGCATTTCAATTAGTATTTAAGTATCAAAAGCATTTCAATAAAGAGTTTTTATTATGCACGCCATTTTTCTACTTTCATATTACTTAATTTTTAGAGAAGAAATAAAATAATTTTTGGAAAATGTGACCAGAAAATTCGTCGACACTTTAAAATCAAGTACTAGAGTACTTCTTTGAGTATTTGGAGAATGAGCATGAATATGTGTGCGAGTTTTCAAGATCCTATTCTGTGCTGAGTGTAACCAGTAAAAATAAATAGTCGTACTCGCCTGTCTCCAGTTAGAGAAACTTGCGGTAGCAGAATGAGAATAAGTGGAAAGGAACTAAACGGGTTTTTGATAATTTTTTCAAAATCTCCCAATTAATGTTGTCTTCTTCTTGTCGCCATTTTTACTTATCTCTAATATTCAGGTCAGGATGCGGAGTACTAATGCCGGGTAAAGAGCAAATGGTTGTAATCACCGGTAAAAAAATCAGAAAAAATTGTATTAAGTCCGCCCGAGTCAAATATAATGGTCAGTTAATCGATCGGTAACGTTCACGCACGAAACAGCTCTTTAACAGATGCCGTTTTTCATCGAGTCATTGACCTATTTATTTTTGCTTCGGTCACCAATATTTTCGGAAAAATTCAAAAATCTTCCCTTTCCCACGAGAAAAAGTGAAAACTAATTAGTTTCGGCAAACGTTTTAATAACGATCCGTTAATATTCAAAAACGGTAGCGTACGTATACTCTTTTCTTACCGAAAAAAAACCGGTCAAATAATGGCTTGAGTAACATAGCAAGAAGGATATCGAAACAAATCAATAGAGATTGACAACTATTTCTTGCAAAATAACTATTTGCTAATGTTTTCACCAACGTTCAGACGAAATTTGACATAGTATGCTTCAAAATTCAGAAACCTTTATCATTTATGGGCTACACTGTGAAAAAGAGTTGCATTTTTGAGAAAAAAAACGCACTTCAGGCGCGTAAAGGCAACCTCATCTTTTATCATTTTATAATATGAAAGCACCTTGTTAGTGAATAATTACTCTGATGTTGGTACTTTTCCCTTCGGATGATAAAAAATATATGAAATGTTCGATCTTACAGTTCTCTCATACAGAAAAGCTCAGAATATTGATCAATACGCAATGTTGAAATTAATATATCTAAACAAGATTTGACTGCATTTAGCCCGATTTAGTATTTCCTAATTTCATTTCAACTTAAAAAAGGATTTTAGTGTTTATATCGTATTAATTTGAAAGATGCTGGATACGATAGAAAAATTCATATTTGTGTAATAACTTATTTTCCACTATCAAATTGTATTAAAAAATATAATATCTCCGATTACTAAATATACTTGTGCGAAGAAACAGAGTTGAAATGAGATTAGGAAATACTAAATCGGGCTAAATGCAGTCAAATCTTGTTTAGATATATT